CCTGATGCCCTTCCAACACCATCTGCTGGCTGAGGGTCTGGGCTGGTGACTTTACTGCATCCTGCACCCAGGGCCTCTCATGGCTGACTTTGGATATCCCAAAAGACTTCCATAACATGCCCATAAACTCAGTCACATAAACTCAGTCAACTAAAGACAGAGTGATGTCCTAGCTCTTGGCATTCCCCATCTAAAGTGCCACCAAGTACTAGGTCTCCTAGTTCTTTTCTATTTTGAAGCATACAGGTGCTTGGTTTCAGAGTTCTATGGGATAGAGCAAAAGCAACAAATGCTCTCTCATTCAAGACCCCTCTATACCCCCCAAGTTCACATTCAGGGAAAGGGGTCCTACCTCATCTCACTGCACCAAGCTGTGGCTTGGTGTGGCCCACCCTGCACTTGCGCTCCTCAACCCAGATGCATTGGATTAAAATGCCACCTTGAGGGGCTGGGGCCGAGTGGTAGAGTGCTTGCCTAGCATGTGCAAGGCACTGGGTTTGATTCTCAGAATCAAATATAAATAAGTAAACAAAGGTCCATCAATAGCTAATGAATTTAAAAAAAATGCATAGAATTTGAATCACACGTTGCTCTGGAACACAGAAGTCCTAGTTATGAGTCTAGGGAGTCTAGGCTGTCCAGCACCAAACCACAGAAAACTACCATCTATTCCCCTGATCCTGCAGATTTTTTTGTACCTTTTTTTTTTTTCCAGCCTTAATGAGTTCACCCTGCTACCAACGCAGAAGTACACACCACTGAAACCATGTTATAGATATTAAGGCACATTTTGTTTTACTTTTTACTTTGTAACACAACTTTTTTGAGGACTCAATAATATATTTAACTTTATTTTCAAGGTCAGTTGCCCATCACGCTGTCCCTCTCGACCACAAGCATGGTGGTACCACTGGTCACCATTCTACCTCCTGTAACAGATGGTTCTATTCTGGCACAGACAGAAAGGGTGCACCGCATGGGCACAAGGACGTTAGGATCCAACTCCAAGTGAGCTGATATCAACCCCTGTCTGGGGCAAGCATACGGCACAAGGCAGAATGGAGTAGATCACAAGGAGGGCCTCTGTGGCACATTTGTCCTCAATCCTGCTGCAGACAGAGCCTGGAGTGAGCGCCAGGCCAGGCATTCTCCCACAGCTTCCCTCTGGGAGGGAGATCATTTGGGGAGGAGGGAAATCTGCAAATCTTTTGAGGACAGAAGGCTATGTTGCTTTAAAGTTACAAGTAGGGAGCCATTTGGGGAGAAGGAAGTTGATTCTGTCATTCATTTTGACAGGGCTCCTTAGTGGGAAAGGAGGAGAAGGCTGAGGGGAGGGGCTTGTGGGGAGGCTGGGGGAGAGGACAGAAGGTTGAAGCCAGCCAGGCACAGGAGAACGAGAAATTGCAATCAGAGACCTTATGGAAGGGCTGCTGGGGAGCTACTCTGGCCAAGGAAAATGGTGATTGGACCAGTTTTCGGAGGGAAACAGACAGCTCTTGTGCAAGCAGATGGAGGACAAGTCTCTAGGAGGAGGTTGTGTTGTTCATGTGTGAAATGGTCTTAGCCAGAGAGTAAAAGTGCCAAGCCATGTATGTAAGCAGGAGCCACCTGGCCTGCGTGTGGTGGTGAGGCGTGTGCGTGGGGTGTGTGGTGAGGCGTGTGCGTGGGATGTGTGGTGTGGTGTGGGGTGGGGTGTGTGTGTGTGTGTGTGTGTGCACGCGCGTGCGCGCGCACAGGCTAGGAAGACACTGGGAGCAAAACCAAGACTGAAAACTCGAGATCCATGAAACCCAGACCTAGGTTTCCCTACCTCCTAGATGCAATTTGTCTCCCAGACCCATAAAATTAAGAAACTAGAAAAAAATTAAGTATAAGGCAAGACGGAGCTAAAAGTGACACAAAGTCACCACTGACAGAGGACCAACCCAGAGGAAGCCATTCTAACCCCCACCCCTCAAGTCCTCTCCCTAGCATGTGGATTCTCCTGCACTGGATGTTACGGGGGAGGAATTCCCGTGGAAGGGCCTGTCCTGGAGAGGTGGCACTCCACAGGGCCACAGCTCTCCGCAGCAAAGGGTGACAGCCATCTTCCCCGGAATTCTCAGGGCTCTTTTTACAGAAGGGCGAACTGGCGTTCTTGACCTTGGTGCTATGGTAATTTTTTGACAGGGGCTGAACTAGGCAGTGAGGAATGCTCTCCAGAGGCCAGGGAACCTCCCAGTCTAACAAGGAAAATCTCCAGAAACAGCCAGACACCCGGGGCGGGGGTCAAAATCAGAAGCACCGACATAAAGCCAGGTAGACTTACCAGAGGTTAGCTGGTGGCAACTGGAAAACTGCCCTCCAACTCCTTGCACAAAAGGTCAACCACATGCACACACACGCCCACCGTCTCCCTCTCACTTGTGTATACACATGATTTCAGAAACCCTAAGAAAGGCGGTCCACATTTCTGAATTTTCATACTCTCATGCACAGGGTTTGTTGTAAACACATCGGAAGTTTGAGCAGAATGTCAAAGGCCCCCCTCACAGTGATCTGCCATGACTCCAGTGTCTCAAAGGGCCGTCAGCCCTACAAGTCAGGATGGAAGCAGTCAGGCAGGATAGAACTCCCATTTCTCCATTCAGCTCCTACAAAACAATACTGTGTACAGATGCGTGCCTTATAATTGGGCTCTGCTAACTGTTTGTCCCCAAAAGAGAAAGCAGATGCAGAAAGATGATTGAAGTGTATTCCACAGGGCTCTGAGGTTGTTTTCAAATACTCTGGTTCTGACACACTTGGAAAATTCCTTACAGATTTTCAATGACTCTAGGTCGATGAGGCTGTGTGTGTGGGGGGGGGCGGGGGGCACATTGCCGAGTTCTACATTATTTGACTCAAACAAATTTTTACATTGACAAATGCATGATACAGTCTTTAATGTTTACAGAGGGGCCTTTTCTATATGAATAATAAAGTTGCAAGGGATAAAAGCAGGAACAAGACATGGCTCTGTCTGGAACACCAGGACTATTAAATGGCTAATATTTCTTAAGTGCTTACATCATGGTAACATCTTTACATTAATTTAATACTCACAACTGCATGAGGTCATGATTATTCTTAAGCCAAGTGTGCAGATGAGAGCAGCAGACACAGAGGTCAAGGACTTGATCCCACTTCCAGTGCCTGTCATGGCAGAGGGAGATTTGCTCCTAAGTAAACTCCTTCCAGTTAACACTGGACCACTCAGGGCCACCCTGTCCTCTGCTCACACATTTGCACAATCAACTACAGCATCAGGCAAACTGTGCTGTAAGTCATGAAGAAATATCAGTAATAAGGCAATTGGGGAGTTCAAAGGAGAAAGTGGTTAGTGGCTCTGTGGTTGAAGGTTCCAGAAAAGAGGAGGAGTAAGCTGGCCCCTGAAAGATGGGGAGAATTCTGACAGGATGGGCCAGGTGGAAGAGAATGTGGGTCTGAATCACAGGGACTGCTGGAATTACAATGGAATTGGGTTTGACTAGAATGAGGGCATTCAACCCAGAGAGTAGGTGGAGGAGAGGCTAGGGGTGCTGGCAGAGGTCACCAGATGGGTCCCCAAAGTCCAGGTGTTGGAGATTTAATACCTAAGTTCATTTGTAAGTGGTATCTGGAGATGAACTTGGGGAAGTAATTAGGATCACATGAGGTCATGAGAGTAGAACCCCCAAGATGGCTCCAGTGGCTCTCTAGGAAGAGAGACCTGAGCTAGCCAACAGCTGTCTGGCTTCACGATGCCTCCATCAGGTGACGATAAAGGTGCCCTTACCAGGTGCCAAGCAAAGGCTAGTGCCAGGCTCTTGGACTTCCTGGCCTCCAAAACCGTAAGCCAAATCAATTTCTGTTCTTTATCAATTAGCTGGTCTCAGGTGTTTTATTATAGCAACAGAAGCTGGCCCAGGATACCTGGCTACCTGTTGCTATACTTGTTCCAGGTGCTGAGGGCCAAGGACATTCTGAGGAGACACACAGGCTGAGCTATGGCGTGGTCTCTGCCTAAGAACTTTGGATTTAAACTCTTTGCCCTACTGTTTCTTGCCCTTAAGGAGACATCCCTCAGTTCTTTCATATTTTCTTTACTTTGACTGTGGCGACCCTACACTTCTCACTGGTACTGCAGAATATACAAAGAAATCAAAGTATTTAACAACATGTTTATAGCTCATTCAGCAAAGATAAATAAAATAAAAAATAAAAGCAAAGCTAGCTCTGGAATTTCTCTTATAACAGGATGTGGTGCTTCCACAGATTAGAACCTCCTTTGCTCTGCAGATGAACTGCACGCAGGCATTGGGCAGATGGAGAGACAGGCCACGCAGATCCTTTTCTCAAGAGCAACTGGGGAGAGTGTGGGACCTGGGGCCACACTCAGGTCTGTGAATTCCTAGCTGGAGGCCAATTCTAGCATTTCACAGTTTTGAGTACTCATACCTCCCAAGTTTGCCACGCAGACAAAATCACGTCTCAGAATAAGTAAGACTAAATTTGCCTCGAGTGACGTTATTTTCTGTGATGGCTGTTGAGACTGAGAACAGCATTGAACATGAGAAAGGAAAAAAAACTCCTGAAGCTTCCAGGTAAATCACCAGGACCCAACAGTCCCGGTCCTCCAGACCAAGTACTAGAGCAAAACAGATCAGGGGTGGGGAGGGGCACCTGTCCACTGGGACACTTCACGCTGCAAGTCACCAGATCTGCCACACTTCTGATTTGGTCTTGCAGATCTCAGCAACACTGGAATAAAGCTAGATGATCTGTTCAACAGTCAAAAAGAAAGGAGGATGGGAAAAATAAAAAAGAAAGAAAAAGAAGGAAAACACGGGTCCTGTCCACTGGCTCTCACAGCCCTGCCGGGGTGGTGCAGGAAGCTGACAGCTACTCTGTACTTAGCACGGAGCAAGGTTCTGTATGTACACCATCTCCAGACGTGTTTTTGAAACAAGGGCTTTGCCTTTTACCACCAATAATTTTTCTTGTTGTATGTTGTTACTTACACAGATGTTCCATAATTTTTTGCATATGGCTCAGCCAAAGAAAGCTTTTCACTTCCATTTTTGGGAAAGTTGCAAGTGCCTGTGTAAGGGCGGGCACGTCTGGTCTTTACATCATTTCTATGGAGACGACAGGGCGGGATGGCCGGTGGGCAGGCGTGCCCGAGGGTGGACACGCACATGTGGAGTGACGGGATCCTCTGCCCCATGTTGCTCACCACATTTGATCTAGCTCCTTCCTGAGTCATTCCTATGAGACGGCGGAGTGGCGAGGACACCCGAGGTCGCTGGTATTTGCTGGGATAACACATTATCTGAAGGCTCTCTAAAGAGGGTTTGAATATTTACAGAAGGAAAAAAGAGGCAGGAGAAATGAGAACACAGTGAAGATTTTTTGGTTTCTGACTTGGCAGTCTTCACAACTGAAAGCAGCCCGGCCCTCTCCCGTTTCCACGACCTGCCCTGGGCCCTGAGCAGCATGCACATATACGGTATGAGCGCTCGGAGGAGGGCTGGTGGATGTCTGGGGAAGAGCGGGTGGGAGCACAGACACTGGAGGGGTGGAGAGATGAACTCCTGCTCGCTGGGCGTCTAGAATGGAGAAATACAACTGGCTGATGGGCACATGGAGGAAGGGCAAAGAAAAAATATACATCTCTTTTATTGCGATTTCACCAATTGAGAGAACATTCTGCTTGGGGGGAGATGTCTGCCAAAGACTTCTAATTCAGTTTGTTCCACCCGTTTTATTTTTAAAACCAAGTGCAGATTTTATTCCTGGAATGTTATGGGATTGGTGTGGGCAGAAACGGGCAAATTTTTTTTTTTTTCAGAAGCGCTTTAAGTGACAACTTGGGAAAGACCCTCCAGAACTCTCCAAGTATAGGTCAGGGGTGAATTTCATCTCCTTTGCCTCCTGAAGGCTACCTTGATTTTACAAAGGGGAAGCTTGGTTATGATTTTGAAAGCGGGTGAAATAAGGATACCGCCTCTTAGTGATTCACTGCAAGCCAGGCAGTATGAGAATTTGCATATTCTCTCTGGCTTAATCACCACACGTACGTACCCTCATTTATGGGTAAGGAACTAAGCTAGGGGGCACTGTCAGAGTGGAGTTCAAATTCCCATCTTGATGATATTAAAATTCTTAGCTGCCCTGCAACTGGGCTTTCCAATGTCTGGAACCTCACACACTAATGATACAAACAATTGATGAAACAAACATATAATTTAGCTATTGGGGCTACTATTATTCTAACGGGATGGGGCAGAGGTGAATTCCTTAGATTGCATTTCTTGTGTGAGACCTCGGAGCAGTCAAAGGTGGCCTGCAAAAGGGGACCAGTTCTGTGGGTTTGAGTTTCAGTGGTGGGCCCCAAGTTATCACGGGTGGCAGAATTGGTGCATATAATAATTGTTATAATAGATGTTACCTATGCACTATGATATTATACATCATAAAATATTATTATATATAAAATATTATATCTCAATCATGATTTTGATGCTGGGCATGCAACCCAGGACCTTGCACATGCTAGAAAGTGCTCCACCACCGAGTCATCCACCCAGCCCTCTGTATTTATTTAGAAATGCCACACTACACCTAAACTTGCTCCACCTACTTTGGCAACACTAAATATAAACAGACTGTCCCTCTCCTCCTCCTCTCCTCCCAAAGTGCTCACTTCAAAAATCGATTTCCTCTGTCACTATTTACTGCCTCGCTTTGCCCAGTGGTTCTGAGAAACCACATGGAAAATCACAATGTTACCCTTGTTAAATTGACCCTGCAGGGCTCTGCCGCCAGTCCGTGCATCATCTCAAGAGGTAAAAAGGCGAGTCACCAGGCTCACGCTGAGAATGTCATCATGAAACCAACAAGGATATGCAAATCCGTCTGCTCCACGGCTCATTTGCATAGAGTTTCATTGGTTTTGTAGAACCTCTACACTAAATGTCAATTTCCTTTTCTTTCCTAAAGCTTATTAGCTTCCTGTGATGTTTACAGCCTGGAAAACAAACAGATTTAATAGTTAAAATGCTTAAATTGTAGAATTAAAAAGCACATGAGGAAGAGGAAAAAAAAGCAGCTCCAGTGTAGATCAGACATGTAGATTCACTTGTGCTGTTAAAATACGCCTTCCATGTTGGGAAGATGCGGAGAACCCGTGCACGTCTGAGCACACATAAGCAGCGCCGCAAAATTTGCTTAACCTATTTCTTTTATTTTTAATTTTTTTTTTTTGGCAACAATCTAGAAAGAGCAGAGAGATTTTCTTATGAGCGAGGAAGGGCTTGAACCTAGTCACTGGGTACACATTTTACTCACAATGAAATCTGAATGGAAGGCTGCCAACCCTTAGGCTGATATTGAAACATTCTGTGATTCTCTACACTTCACCCTCTCAGAAGTAATGTTTTAAGACACTTCTGGTATTTTCAGAGGCACCACACAGTTCTGTCTTTACCTCACAGTTCAGAGTGGATACACAGCAATAATATTTTGCTCAAAAGAAATGCAAAGAAAGTCCTTTACTGCGAAGCTCATTCATCTACAGAATCTATACAATAAACATATGATAAGTTTTGTACCAAATCATTTCCCTTTGTGCATAGATTTTGGAACTGGGTAAGAAGAGCGAGTTTAAAGAAATAATATTTAAATTATAAAATTTATATTTAAATTAAATATTTAAATGCATTCTTTTAATATTTTAACAAATTATTTAAAATATTAAGCATCTCGGTAGTAGACGATACCTTACAGACAACTTTATGGAAGTGCAGAAAGTTTACCATTTCATTCAGCTACTGTACAGAGCATCTACTGCTATTAAACATTAATTAAACAGCTGTGCCAGAGGTGACTGGTGATCCACACCTGCATACTTCTTTGCTGGGAACTTCAGCACAATTAGTAGATGCACCAAATTTCACCTGGACTGCAGAGAACAGCTGCTCAATTAATTAGAGTTGTTGGCTTTAAGGAAAAAAAGCAAAACTGAATGCTCTTAGGAGATTTTGGAGGTGGATTAAAAAACTGAAACCTTCTGCTACCAAGAGGGCATTCCCTCCAGGTGAGGCCCCTCCTTGCCACATGAGGAAGGGGTGAAGCTGGGGTAAAGCATCATTTGAAGGTTTTGAATCCTGTTGGGGCCACAGGCACGGTTATGTTGGGACGGAATCCAGCTATACAGCTCATTTCTGCCAAACTCCATCCATCCGGTCTTAAATTCCTCCCTCTGTCTGTGAAGCGACCAGGGGGAAATGACCTGCATGAAGTGACAAAAGGCAGAGCAAACACAGGAGAAGGGTCAAAGGCGACGGTGGTGCCGGAGCCGGCCTGGGCTCTCCTGAGGAGCTATTGCCAGAGTCCAGGTGAGCCACTCCCTAGCTCTGTGCCTTTGTTTCTCCAGCTGCTTCAAACAAGGGTCATCACATGACCTTGAACTTTAGAGAATTTTTGGGAAACTGAGCAGCTTACAAAAAGCACCCAGTAAACACGAACGCCAAACTATTATCTCATAATTCAATGTGCCCACATCAGATTGAGACAAGTGAAACCCCAAATTAATTGGAGACCATATGCTACGGGTTACATTTTCCAAAAGCCTTCAAAAATTGGCATTTATGATGTTTGTGGGGTTCATCCTTTTCCATGTACAAAAAAACATGTGCACACATCAAAATAGACCCAGTGAAGTCGTAATGATCCAGAGGAAGACTATCCAAGATTCTTACTGTTTCTTTTCCTGCTGCCCATTTTTAGTCTCCCTGGCGATTCCTCCATGATCAGGGAGAGGGGCCGGCATGGAAATCAATCCATTCTTTTCCTCACTCTCACTTCAATTATCCGTGCTACCTCAGCCTGCACCAGCATTGATTCACGAGGTCGAGTCATCTTTGTACTCACAGGTGGGTGTGAATGTTTATGTGCATTACTGGGAAATGATGTATTTGCATAAACTACTTTCATCTCTTCCCCTTCTACAACTTTGCTTATTGAATGGAAATTTTTCTAAGGTCTGTTTATTTAGTTCTACATTTTATGGACCTTCCTTTAAAAATTAAGAATACTACATTTTAACCTTTCTTTGTTGGCTGGGGAGTCTTATCAATGACCATTCATTACAGGGCTGCACCACACAACTTTCTGTCTGCTTCCGAGTGATTTTTTTTATCCTCTCTCGTTCTTAGCCTGTCATCTGATACATCTCACTTATTTTTTTTCATTTGACAAAGCAAATGCTTGTGAAGTCCGTAATACACGCCAGAGCCCTGAGCTGCTGGGAGCTGAGAGGTTGAGTTAGGCGATCGGGCTGTCCCTGGCTCCCACACAGCTTGCACCCTACGTAGGTGAGACTTTGGGCGCAGTCATCCCCCTTTATCCATGACCAGACCCTCAGTGGGTGCCTGAAACCATGGATAGGACCAAACCCTAATGTGCTTATATTTTGCTATACATACATACCTACGATAAATTTCAATTTATAAATTAGGCACAGTAAGAAATTAACAATAACTAATATAGAGTAATTGTAATATACTGCAACAAAAGTTATGTGAATGTGGTCTCTCTTGAGGGAGTCAAGACAAATGTCCATATTTTTGGATTGTGGCCAACCATGGGTAATGAAGACAGCAGAAGGCAAGCCATGGCTAGGGGTGCCTCCCGAGTTCTCTTTGGTTCCAGCCCCTAGAAGGGTAGGATTTCTGTTTTTTGTTTTTTTTTCCCCCTAAATACATAAATTGCCTCTTCATGGAGCAGGATTTTGCCATAACAAATAAAGCTAGATGGCCGATGGTGTAAGACAAGCTTCTCTATTTTGAAATTCCCTGTCCCTTTAGCACTGCCTGGAGAGGAGGACGCTATGTAACTGTAGTCACGCTACTAAGGACGCTAACTTCTTGCTAGACGAAGAGGTGGCCCCTTGGCCAAGGCCTCCTCAGAGGACCAGAGACTAATGTCTGACACCCACAACGTGAGGGAGGGAAACGGATTCTGTTGAGAGTGAGCGAGCAGAAACAAAAGTTTTACGTTCTCCTTTTTACCATTACAGGTGTGACACAATAGGGCACAGACCCGAGCATGACACAGGTGGTGCCAGCTGCCGAGTCAGGTTTCATGGTTGTGAAGAGGAAAGTAAAGGTGATGTTCAGCTCGTCTCCCTGAAGACTGTCCATCTGAATTAGGAACGGGAAGTCCTTCCTGTGACTCCACTGAAAGATATCAGGACTGTGTCCTTGTTGGAGCACAGCCACGTGAAGATCCGCTCATTGGCCTACATCGTATAGTTTATCCAAGACGAGTTTACACTTAAACACCCAGCAAGGGGGATCTCAGAAGAGCACTTATGAAATAGACTGAAATTTAATGATAGATCTTCTTGGGTAGGTGGACTATCAAGGCACTCATAAAATAACAGGGTTGAAAGAATAAAAAGGTGGGTGTTTTGGTACGTGAGCCCCTTCAGCCTGGTACATGGAGGGTGCCCAGGTGGTACTGAATAAAGGGAAAGGTCTGGAAGAGGAAGGACGAAGCAATTCAGCTGTCATTCTGGAGACTCTCTTGTAAGACTGCAAACAAGTCTAACATCATCATTAACAGAATTTAATACAGAAAGCTTCCAAGAGAGAAACTCCCAAGTCCCCCCTTTATGACCAAATTTCTCAGAGGCTCAGTGGATCTAAATTTAAACTCCACAGGAAACAGGACCCTTTGCCTCAAGGCACTAAAGGTAACACATTTCTATAAGAGGGCCGTCTGCTTAGCCTGTCTCCTTTGGTATCAAGGGTCTTGAATTCAAAAAGGATCAATAAAAAAAAACAACACAGAGTTCCTTTTGTGTGCCACTCGCTATTAACAAAGGAGAAAAATGTGTGATTGTCAATGAGAATTTGACAACTCATTTTAACTAATACCAGTTGAATTCCCAGAGCTAGAGACTGACCTGGGGTTGGGGGTGACAAGGGTGTGCAGGTAAGACTAGGGACACCCTTTGTTCAGACCATCAGAACACACACCAGAAAGACCAGGGGGCCTCACCTCAGGGCTACCATTTCCTCAGAGTCCACGGTCCTAACCCAGCCTAAGTTTGATCCACCCTGTGGCTTTTGATGAATTCTCAGCTGTTGGTTTCATACTGCATTAATGTAAGGACTTCATTACCTACACATTCACTTGAAACGAGCAATTAAACTTTTCTTTGTTGTTTACTTGGGTTTTTTGTTGTTGTTTTTGGTTTTGGTTTTTTTTTTTTTTTTTTTTTGAGATGGTGCCTAGGTTGCCCAGGCTGGTGTCAAAGTCCTGGGTTCGAGTCATCCTCTTGCCTCAGCCTCCAAGCGCAGGGGCTCCAGGAATGTACCATCAAGCGTGGCTTTTGCTACTGTTTAAAGAAGCAAGCAGTGGCTAGTGGTCCTATGCATTTCGTTTTGAAAGGCACTACTTTTCCTGTAATAAAATATTTACTAACAATATATGATCTATGTACATGTATGAAAACACCACAGTGAATCCTATCAGTGTGTACATCCACGAGATGGGGGTCTTATTAGAATAGGATGTAATCCATGCTTGTTTAATTATATCAGAGTGGAACCTATTGTCATCTGTAACTAAAAAGAATCAATACGTGTGTGAGTGTGTGTGTGTGTGTGTGTGTGTGATTGAAACCATTTTTTTTTTTTTTAACATCTGGGAGTATTTTAGCTTGGAAGGATTGGAAGGAGAGGATATTATTTCAGATAAACATCTTCCCCAACACTATTAAAAAATTGAAGTGGGAATTCAGGGACAATGATGGTGGCGGAGTCAAAGGTGCCGTGGTCTGTCAACCTCATGGAATCCTTGCCTCCTCCTTCCCTGTCCATAAGAATAACGGGGATGACAATAACAAGAATAGAGAAATGAGAACCCTACAACCGAACACCCACGGACAACATCAGAACTCACAGGGTGGGGACAAAGGACCAGAGGGAAATGCCTGGGTGGTGACCTAGTCTTTTGGGGCGCTCTCACAGAATGCCCGAGACTGGGCGACTTATAAAGAAGAGATTTATTTCTGACATTTCTGGAATCTGGGACCACTAGAGTCAAAGGCCTCATCCCTGAAGGTCCCTCCTTCCTCTCCAACCACAGCAAGTGGTTTGGAGCCAATCAACCTCCAAACCAATGAAACCAAGCCTCCTTCCACAAGGAGGCTCCGAGGAGGAACTCTAGAGTCCAAGTGGAACACGATGGTGATAATGAGATCAAAGGGAGGGGAGGGTGAGCACTGGGGGGGGAAGGCCGAGAAGAAATCATGGGCCTTGCTTTGCCATTCTGTGGGAGTGGGAGGGAAGGAGTTCCAGAGCTCGGAAGCTGGAGAGGATTTTCTGGCCGCCCCTTTGCCCCCGAAAATACAGGAAAACTCATTTCACTTCAGAATGAGTAACCAAACAGACTGTGGTCAAATGGAGGGCGCAGTTATTATGAGAAACACAATCAGCCCAGCTTTCTCACCACAGAGACAGGCCGCAGAGCGAGGGGAACTTGAAGACTTCAAAAGAGCCAAGAGAAAACAGAGGGTAGAAAGAAACACACCAGGATGGGGACACTCAGAAGAGCTGGGACTGAGAAAAGCCACATTTGGGTAGGGAAAGAGACGGGAGGGGGGCGGAGAACAGAATTTGAAGGAAACCAAACCCATTTTAGAAACGGAGACTAAAGAATGAAGGCAAGGGAATGTCTGCGACCAACATCACCCAAGGGGCACCGGAAAACGACGGGAGGGGAGTTTGAAATGTCCAAGAAAATGAAGAAAGAAAGAAATGTTCAAGACAAGTCTCAGAGAAGACGAGCAGAGGAAATTGAACACGACGTTGAACAGGAGCCTCCGCTGGGTGCGGTAGTGCACTCCCGAAATCCCAGCTCCTCAAGCGGCTGAGGCAGGAGGATCGCAAGCTTGAGGCCCACCTGGGAAACTGAGTGAGACCCCGTTTCTAAATACATAAGGCAGGTGGTGTAGCTCATTGGAGAGGTCTCTTGCCTAGCATGTATGACGTCCTGGGTTCCCTAGTACCACCCCACCCCATCACACGCACAAAAAAGAAACAACACAACAAAATCTTAACACCTTAACTCAAGCATGCTTTATAGAAGTAATTTATATATATTGAAACTATATGTCAAACAGACACACCATACACCTAAAAAAAAGTCATCTGGAAAAAAGAAAAAAATGAAGATCATTTGGGAGTCCAGTCACTTATGAGGGTCAATGACCAAGTCACTTGTAAGGGACAGAAATTTAGAGTCATCAGACCTTTCGAGAGCCAGGTTTTCCATGAGAAGTCAACAGAGTGACTCCTAGGAAAGGTAACTAGACCCAGGATTTTATATCCAGCCAAACTGACCTTCAAGTCAAGGACAGTCTGTTATGGATTTGCAAGGCCCAGGGAAGATGGTCCCCAATAGCCTAGGGAGAGGGTCCAGGCCACCAGCACTTTAGGGTGGGCCTAACTGAAAGATGGGGGTGAGAAGTGAACACATAACCACGGTAGACCTAGGACTCAGAGATGAGTGTAACGGGGGCAGTGCCGTCTGCAGGGGCCACACAGTCTGACGACGTGCGGGGATGAACACTGTGAGGAGAGGGTGGGAATAAAGGACACCACTTTGAATCAGATGACGGAGAGAGGAGGAAAGGAGAGCATTTCTAGAACTTCAATACTGCCCAGCCAATAAACAATAGCTCAGGACAGATGGGGTGCTCCGCAGTACGTTAAGGAAATACAATACATGTATCATGTAGAGCAAAAAATACAGCAGCCTACCCAAATAACATCATTGCTTATACTGAAAAAAGGACATGCATAAAAATGGTTACACAAAGAGAAAGAAGAATGGATGAGGCAGGGTTAAAGAATTCAGTGACTTCCTTATTTCTTGGGTTTGATTTTAGGAATATGTATTTTTACAAAATTATTGAACAAGAATAATTTTTCAAAGCTTCCTCTAAAAGTCTCAAACTAAAATTTAAATGTAAACCCAGTACTGGGGGTTGTAGCTCACTGGCAGCGCATGCATTTAGCAGGCGCTAGGCCCTGGGTTTGATACCCTCACCAAAAAAAAAAAAAAAAAAAAAATTCTAGTTACTGTAATAAACAAAGAGAAACTGATATCTGAATTGCAATATATCTGTTTATCTTCAGCTCAGTGAACTAAAAAAACAATACAAATCTAAATCTAAACAAATAACTTCAAAAGTTTTCAGTTAGTATAGGTTGGGTTTTTTGTTTTTTTTTTTAATTTGGAAATTGTGAAGTGTGGATAAAGTAAATGAGTGAATTGTGCTGGTGTGACTGAGAAGTGCTATTTTCAGTTTCAGAGACAAGAAACACTGATAGAAGACAAACAAGGTAGAGAAAAATAAAGCTCTCTCCATGAGTGTAAATTCAGGAGGCCTTTTATCTTAAAATACACACACACACACACACACACACACACCACTCTCATCTGCATCTGGAAAGACTAAGACACACTTCCGAGCTTTGCTGAGTTCACTGTGAAAATGCTGAGAAATGATGGCGACCCAGATGAAATGAGTCACCCCTGGCCAGCCTGTGGTCTCCAACACCACTTCTTGCTAAAAGCGATCTTGTCTCTTTGGTAAGGAGCAGATCTCGGTGCTGGGGCAGGAAATGCACAAGACGAGGTCTGGAGCAAGCAAGGGGGCTGTTGCAGACAGTCAGCATTCCACATCCAGGAACCCAGCCGAATAGGCTGCTAGGGCCAGAGTGGGGACCCTCTGAGCATCAGAAGGGCTAACTACTGTCAGGGATGGAAAGACATGAGATATGCTTCCACTCAAGTTCAGACATATGTTTTAAAACATTCACTCAAGGATTCTAGGAGCCAGAGAACTGATAGGTTAAAGGGAAAGAATAAAAAATTTTCTCTACTCTTTGCACAGAACCGAATACATTGATGAAACAAATTGTAGTGTTCCTCCTCAAATAAATGATTCTTCCTAGTAAATGGATAAAGGATAATAGACGTACAGTATTACCATTTTGCAACCCCTAACAAATTTATGAATTTAGACAGAAATCTCACTGCACAAGGAAATATCCCCACTATCTCCTGAAGGAAATATACAACACAATACCAACTATGAGGTGGGTGGACAGGATGGGCAAAGTCTGCAATGCTTCCCAAATTCCCCAGCAATTTCCAAGAAATGCAGGGCCATGGGAGCAGCTAACCAACATCACATGGGTGCAATCGTTGAAATCCAGATGGTGGGAAATTCTACCAAATGAGCAAATTTCTCAACATAAAAAAAAAAATGGCAGTATAAAAAAGATGGAGGTGGTTTGAATAGTGTAAGGAATAAGAGAGATCCTGATTCAAATAAACTATAGGAAAAAAATCCAACATAGAAAAAGTTATAAACCATAGGAAAATATGAACAGTGATAGAAGAATTGATGATACTAAGCAAGTATTGTTATTTTGGGTTTCTTTGGTGTGATGATGAGATTGTGGTTTTGTGTAAGAATCCAAATCATGTACTTTCATTCTAAAACACTTATAGGTATGCTGTTTGAAATTTGCTTCAAAATAGTCTGGTTTCAGGGGGTGGATAAAAGAACCATGTTATTATTAGATGCTGGAAGGATAGGGGGTTCGTTTGACCATCTACTTGGATGTGTTTGGTATTTTCTGTAACAAAAAGCTAAAGTTCCTTTGAGAATTCAGCAGTATTTCTCAAACAATTCCCTACAGCTGTCATTTGAGGTACTTATTAAAATTCATATTCCCCACGTCAGTCTACTTGGGGTTCTTAAAATTAAATGTCTGCCCAACCCAGACTTCTGAATCAGAATTCCTGGGAACAGAGCCGAAAACACGGCACTGTAAATATACTCTGCAGGTGGGTCTGTTCTACATTCGACTTAGTTTTATTTGCATGAAATAAATTATTCCCATTCTCAAAAGGTTTTGAGCAATCAAAGCTAAAATTTGTTTTTCCTGTGAGAAGAAAGCTAGAATAACCTAAAACATCCTGCGTGTGCTATAGCTTCATTTTGATAAAACAGATCCTGTAAGCATCACACATCTATGTGTGAATGGTCCTAAACTCGTGGGAGTAGGGGATCAGACCCTGTAAAGCTTGCTAGGTACCTGTACCAGCCTCACGTTTCCTGGATGAAGGTACAGAAGTGTGCCTCTTA